TACTCAGGTTATCTTTTCTAATATTAAAATTGGTTTGACGATCTGAAACATTTAGGTGTGACAAATATGCAAACAAATAAGAAATCAGAAAGGGGGGAAATACTTTGACAGCACTGTACATATACACACACATACATGCCCATGCCTATGTATACAAATATATATAACTCACCTAAACGTACACACACATATCCATCATTATGGATATATACATTTATTTATTTATATAATTTATAAATAATTAATAAATAATTTATGATTCTACACTTGAAGGAGAAAATCATTATTTTAGATTGGAAGATATTTATCAGCACTATATTAGCATTACACTTATTTATAGTTGGTGTGTCTTTCTTAAACCATTTCCTGGTTCATAGAGTTTTACTTTGACTTTGGCCTTGAATATAGAGAAATAAAGTTAGTGCTTGGTTCTAGGCATGATTTTCAAATAAGTGAAAGACAGCTGAAGAGGATACCTTGCGCAATAGAAAATGTACTCAAGCTAATTGGTTGATTTCTCTACATTTGGTTTACATCCATTCACAGTTGTGAAGCTGTCCAGAATACTGCAACTTTTATGTATGAAATAACCTTGGTCCGCCAAGCTTGGGTACATCTTCCATTGAAAATCTGCGAATAAAGTTATAAAGTTGTGTGTTTTTGTAGATGTTTTTGTAGGCCCGGCCCCCAGAAACACTCTACTCCGGCATCATCTATAATTTTTCCAACATTTCAACATTATTGCAGTCTCATTTTCATTATATCACTAGTTTCACTGAAATTAGTAAATAAAGTTGTGTTTTTGTACCAGGTGGATGACCACCTATGTATTTTTTTTTCTCCACCTTTAAAATCCTGCATAAAATTGTAAGAAAATGTATGAAGTAAAAGCAATAAAAATTTGACAGGATGTTCTGAATATAATTCTGAACAGTTTCTAAAATTCATTAGAATCAATCATACTTATATACCATACAGCACTTCGCCATGTTGGCATGTCATTGCTGTTCTGCTTGTATTTTTTCCAACTACTGTTTTGTTAGGGCAGTGTTTTTCAACCCCAAGGCTACGGACCAGCACCAGACCACAGAACATTTGTTATTAGGGCACAGGGAAATCGATCTTGAAAAGACAAGTTGTAAAGTACATCACATTGTTTTCTGAAAATCTGTGGCTAATTCAGTTTTACTACAAAAAATCTGTGTGAGGTCAGACAAAGTAAACAACCATACTTTTTTCCATATTATCATGCAATCTTATTTTAAAGCAGTGTTTTATGTCTTAATGATATCTTAAGTAGCAAACAGCACATAAAGTCAAACTTTCTCTTGTCCAGTCCATCTCAGGGGTCCAGCAGGAGGTGACTCGTCAGTCTCAGGCCTTCCTGTCTTTTGAGCGTATGCCAGAAATCCAGCTCAGCCGGCGGCACTCAGACCACGCCAAACCCTGGCTGTGGTTCGCCACTGTCAAGTCTCTGATTGGGAAGGGAGTGATGCTCGCTGTGATCCAAGGCCGTGTGGTGACCAACGCTCTCAACATTGCCAATGAGGACTGCATCAAAGTGGCTGCAGTCCTAAACAATGCCTTTTACCTGGAGGACCTGCATTATACAGTGGAGGGACGAGACACACACTACTTCATCAAGACCAATCTGCCTGAAAACGACCTCAGCGCGCTGCGGCTCACCTCAGGCAGGAAATCTCTGGAAAACGGTGTTAATGTCACAGTGTCTCAGTCCACGACAGTGATGAATGGGAGAACAAGGCGCTTCGCTGACGTGGAGCTGCAGTATGGGGCTCTGGCACTCCATGTGCGTTACGGGACAACGCTGGATGAGGAGAAAGCGCGAATTCTGGAGCATGCAAGGCAGAGGGCGCTCTCTAGCGCCTGGGCCCGTGAGCAGCAGCGGGTAAGAGATGGGGAGGAAGGAGTTCGGCTGTGGACGGAGGGAGAGAAAAGGCAGTTGCTGAGCAGCGGGAAGGTTTTGGGTTATGATGGCTACTACGTGTTGTCAATAGAGCAGTACCCTGAGCTAGCTGACAGCGCTAACAACATCCAGTTCCTACGCCAGAGTGAGATAGGGCGGAGGTAACACGGCATCAACAAACATCTCATTTCTACCCCCTGTGACTGTCAGAGACTAATAAAGTTCAGTTTTAACACGAAATGGATGTCAACTGACTCAAAACTAGCCACTGAAGATACAGCAGGTTTGCAAAGTAGTTTTATTCAAAGGATGCTGAAGTTGGATTTATAGACTGATTGATGATGTAATAATCACTTCAACACAACTGACCTAAAACCTTCTGAACCTACAGTTGTGATAGTTTAAAACAGTCTTTATGAGCCTGCAAATGGTTCAGTCTTTTGACCAATGCCTTTCTTTTTTCTTTTTTTCTTTCATTCTTTCTTTCTTTCTTTTTCTTTCTTTCGCCCTGTCGTCTGCCTTCAAACAACCTGCACGCATGCCCCTCCCCCACTCACTGGTAGGCGGGGCTAACCTGAGAGCTATAATGGTGCGCTATCTAGCTGTGAAACAGCAGGATGTAGAGACTTGTTCAAATAACCAACTCAGCATTTCAGCAGTCATCACAACTAGATGAGCCCACAAGCATTTAGACAGTTGTAAACTGTCAGAGCAGTCTATAGAACAAATGTTTGTGGATCCTTAACAGATGTTGCAGGTATCATATCTGTGTGAGTCCAGATGTGACCCGTTGCTCTGGGCTATAGACCTCTATGAGCCATGTCTATAGGATCTATTGGTTCTGTGGCTGAAGCCATTGAATGGAACTGTTGTGGAACTGTTGTGGACTCTCTCTGAGAGAGACAGGCACAAAAAATGGACTACAATTTGTACGAATGAAAAAAAAGACAGATTTTCTGTTTGGATTTTTTGTTTTGTTTTTATATATAAACTTGCATTTGCTTCAGACAAAAAGGGGATATAAAAAATGAGCAAAAAAGTGTTTACATACTATTACCTATACCACTATTACTACTATTACTACACCACCACCGGAATGGACCATGATCTGGACTAAACAAAACTTTTAGTTTTTGTTTCTTTCTTACTGACATGATCTGTATGGTCAGTTCTAAAACCACTCCTCCTTATCCCCTCTGCTTTTACAAGGTCTATAAAACCGTACAGTTTCAGACTACAATCAACAGCGGTGTTTGAGGAAGCAGGGTGACCGTGGCTGTTACTGATTCTATGTGGATGTACTCTTTATGGACCGAGTGGGCTCACTGGTCCTGGTCATTGGTCCCCTGTCAACCCAGGAGTCCTTCACTTCTGCAAAATGTGACTCATAATGCATAGACCTTGTGCTTTTATCGGTTAAAGGTAGTAGTATTGCTTGCAATAGAAACATGTTGTCATTTGGTGGGGCAGGGTGCTGTGAGTAGTAACTAATTGTTGCTTCTCTCCTTGTTTTTGCTCATTTCTCCTTAAAGGGACAGTGCATCGCCATCAGTGACTTTAATGAGTAACAGTAATTGATCAGAAATCGATGTGGATGTTTTTCTCATTGATTGTGGGTCTCTACTCTTTTAAAGGAATTTTTTGTGTGTATGTGTGTTTACAAGGGTGGGAAGCCAACTTCATTTTAAAGGAAAGAACAGGAACTTTACACAGAGTGTTAACATCATATGCTACGAACCTTTTTTCAGACAATTGAGATGAGTTGACAATGTTTTATGGGTTTATCTTTTTTATTTTGAAAGTTGAGAAATTCCACTTATCCGTACATCAAAATTAGTCTCAGAGAAAGTAATTTATGTACAGTGTTTCTACGGTAAAGAATAAAAATCCTTGAAACTATGGTTGATTTTTTTGCTGTTTCTTTTTCGGAGAGACAAGCCGTGTGAATGAACATGGTGTCAGAGTGTGATGAACAACATGGCTTTATTTTCATAAACTCATTTAACAAATATCCTGTCTGTTGAGCACAGTTCAAAATAGGGACATTATGATTACGGTTATGCATCAAACTGGCTATCTTGTGTACTGGTGCATAACAAAAAGTAAATTAGTGAATTAGTGCCAAATGAAGGGATGCTATAAATGGGGCCCAACTTTAATGTACCTCTCCCGAGAGCTATCACAACTGTATCTCAACTTCTCCAGAGGAATCATAGAAAGTACTTCCTTGACGCAGCGTTTAAACAAGGGAGGTTTCACTGACTTCCACACTTCATTATGACTAAAAAACAATTTTGACCTCATAATTATCACCAGTAGACCTTTATCACAGAAGCCATTTTGACATGATCACTTTTCTACCCCAGAGGAAGAGTGTTCAATCATACCTTTTTCTTTTTAAATACTAACATGTTTCATTTCTACCTGGATACAGCAGACAGTAACAATAATTGTTTTTTATCATTTGTATTGCTTTTACTGTAAACCGCTCTACTTTTTGTGGCTGAGCGTGGAATGTGTGCATTTCTGACAACAGCTCTCACTCACCTTTGAACACCACCACACATTCTTACTCCTCTCTCCCTATCTCTCTTCCTCCCAGACCTTGTCCAGCTACTCCTCTTCCTGGTCCTCTTCCTCTCCCTTACATAATTTTTTCTCTCTCTGCTCCTCTGTGTTGTTGTGTTTCTATATAATATCTATCTAATTGAACTGCAAAACCTGGCTGCCAGGTTTTATTCTGCCTGTCCAATTTTATTCTGCCTGATTGGAATCAGTCGTGATTGGTCTATTTAATAAAACTTAAATCAGCTATTTTGTTTCAATGATCTGCTCATTCAAAAATAGTTATCAGCTATTGTTGCAGCAGAAGATGCTTTCTATTATATGTAAGGTTTTCAACATGAGGTTTTCATTTCTGGAAGGCTTGTAAATAAGACAAGAAAAATCCATCAGTTTGGTATTGGGTAAGCTTGTGTGTAAAGGAAATTTGTATGCATAGAAATGAGTTAATTGACTGCCTATTTTGTGAAAACAGCATGAATTGTGTGAATGGTACAACAGATGGCTGTTGCGCTAATTGCAAGTTAACAGTTTTCCAAATGTGACTGCAGATTGGACAAACTGATGTTAGGGACTGTAAAAAAAAATTTAATGATATTGTCATATATATTGATGTATTCATCCATCCATTAATTTTATAAATCATTTATCCTGTTCAGAGTCACGTGGGATTAGAACTTATCCCATCATACATGATTGCTGACAGGCAGTTTTAGAAATTTCCATTTTACCAGAGCTGCATGTCTTAGGACTGTGGGAGGAAAGTGGATCCTCTTGAGGACACCAGTTGGCATGGACTCAAGCTTAAGCACCAAGTATGGATCAATTATAGCCTCCTGCACTCTAATAATGAGGCAATTGGATTTGACATTATTTACAGGAAAGGTCAGTGAAAGTGAAATATTTAGTATGTTTTATAAAAGATATACCTCTATTTTTTTTGGGCCATTCCCCTCAAACGGCCTTTAAATGTTTCAATCCCAATTCAAAGCTTAATTTAGTCACAGATTTGGGATGAGGCTACAAAAGCACAGACGGCTCCTTACCTGTATGACACGTTTACAGTCTCCTTTTGAACTTGTTTTAAGTTTGGCCTGACTGATGAAGCTCAGTAGAGTTTCAGGCTCAGTTCTCAGATCATCAGCTGATTCTGCCAGTGATTGGCCAGCAGGTAGCAAGAAAGATAAACAGACACTGGAAAGCTGCTCCGGAGCTACAGTGACCAGTATTTTTTTGGGCTTTTATTGCCTTTATGATAGAGACAGCTGAAGATAGACAGGAAAGGGGGACAGAGAGAGGGGATGACACACAATAAAGGGCTGCAGGTCGGATTCAAACCCTGGGCCGCTGCAGCAATGACTCAGCCTCGGTACATGGGTCGCCAGCTCTACCCACTGAGCTAACCGGTGTACATTTTGAATGTTTCTGACTTAACTTTTATATAATCTAGTTGAAGCCTAATTATTTCATGAAACTGTAAGACATTTGTTAGAAGGTAAAGACTTTTCAACTCTTGGAACTGTTTTCTTGTTCTTGCTCAAACTTTGTTACAACACACTTCCTCAGGATGTGCTCTCTTTCCCTTTCTGGCAGAAGTAGCCTTATCTCAGCTACATCACACTGACTGCTCATTTAGGTTATGTCAGCAAGGATTTTCTTCCACATGGGCTCTGATTCACATTAGATCATTATAAAATGCTTCCTCTCTTTTGTGGTTTCTCCGATGGCACTGAGGAAAGCAGTAGCCTAGGAAAAGAGCTTGTAACAGGATGGTTGCTGATTTGAATCCCTAAATGAAAAAACAAAAGACCACCAACCTGATATTCAGCACATGTGGTATAGACTTAAAAAATCTTCAGTTCTTTTTGGTTAACAGTTAATCTCACATACAAAATGCACTAAAGCAACAAAAACAATTCATATACATCTCAGGACGTCTTCCAACAGAAGAACACTTTGTCATTTATTATATGTACTGACCAAAAATGACGAACAACAGGGAGCATTATAATAAGTGTACCTAATTATCATAAACCAAGACTAAATAAATACAGAAATAAGTTCACTTATTTATATACAATACAATTGCATTGACTATGTGGTTGTGATTGTGGATACTTACTGTACATGTCAGAAAATAAATAAATCCTATTGAAGCATATTGCAGCATTTGTAATTAATTTCTATATTTGGCACAAAATTAAACTAAAGTCACAATACAAAACTATACACGTTCATTGTACATACATTCAGTTAAATTTTATTTGTATAGTTCCAAATCATAACAGAGAGAGGTGGTTAGAAAGCGAAAGACAGAGAGAGTGCCCTGAGATAACTTCTAACCCCAACCAGTCAAGGCAGACCCATTTCAAGCCGAGGTCTGCTCGAGGTTTCTGCTTGTTAAAAGGAAGTTTTTCCTTGCCCCTGTCACCAAG